CGCATCACAGTTGTCATCAACTATCCTGGCGTAGGTGTAGACAAAAGGGGGTGGACTGGATTCGGGAGACCGAAAAAACACCATGGTGACTACATTGGTTGCGACACAGTGTGGGATGCAAGTGCACTGCTCCAAACAGTACTCAGGCCAAGAGAAAAAATGCAGCAAGAAGCGTCGTCGTCGTGAGCTAACCCAGTATGTATATATATATAATTACGTAGTTACAGTTGCAGTAGCTAGATTTCGGAGATCGAGAGCGCAAACTGCATCTGGTTTGCCTACCCACACCCTCTCCTCTTCAGGCCCTGCTTAGGCTCGCCGTCAGAGGTTTGACTCCTCTTCTTTGCCTGCTTTTTGCCGCCCATGGGGGCCTCATAAGTCTTGTGCGGAGAGATATGTGATCCTTCTCCACTTGCAGGAGCTAGCTCTCGCAATGAGAGAAGTGATTCTCCGGAAGCTCTTCCTCTGTCATCACTTGGCTCATCCTGTCAACTTCACAACATGCTGAAACCGTAGCCTAATCACTCATCACAAACCACACACCTCGTGCAGTCCAGGCGATGCGGGCGGTGATAGGGGCTGTGATCCAGGGAGGCTGAAGGCGGGGCCGATGCTTTCGGAGCTGCAAAACGCTTCGTTCGCCCTGGTGAACATCCGAAAGGCTCGGCAAGCACACATGTATATATCCACACAAATGCGTTTGTTGGGTATTCGTTGGTGCGGGGATCCCGCACAAAATCAAAGAGGGCATTTGGTTGAGGATGATCTTGATTCATCTTGATTCCTTGAACATCAGAGTCTATAGAGATCGATCCCAATCCCACCTTGGAGGTGCTAAGTTGTTCAAACTGATCCTGTGACGCAGTCCCGGGCCGCCATCGATGCAGCGCATCACGTTCTCAAATTGATGGAGATTCTCTTGTCTCCAGTCATGGAACCTCATAATTGGTGGAAACCAGCAAAGGTCACGGAGAAAATGCACGCCAAGGGTGTTGGAAGCCAAGTTATTTCATCAAGAAACACTTCTTTGAGCTCCGCCAACTTCTGCTCCACGGACTGTAGGACCTGCTCGAGGTCCTCGCCCACCACCGGCATGGCGCAAATGGATTGCAGGCGGGTTCCAATTGATCGGCATGCTGCGGCGATCTAAAGATGCAAACTAGGAGCTAGAAGCTACGTTCGGGGCTCCTGGCCGTACTACTAGGAGCAATGTTCGCAATCTGTGGAACCAAGATGGAGTTCTTCAAGGAAGCTCTCCCCCCACCCAGGTGTGGGGAGCTTCGTTGAAGCCGCTTGCAGAGAGTGAAGCCGTAGCCGCCTAGTTAATAGCTACTAGATGCTCCTAGTCTAGTAGCAGCTTAGTAGCTACTTACCCCTGACTTGCTAGCTTCTTAGCTCCTCACAGCCTGCTCCCCTCCCGAAAATGTGTGCTTTAAAACGATATCATAGGTTCCCCCTCTACTACCGAAATCACTCCATCAGTTGTGCCTGAAAGGCATGCTGGCACGACCTCTGGGAAAATCACCTCCGCCGAGATGTTTCTGTCCTGCCGAATTCTCGGTGCCGCCATGGCAACGTTGTTCTTATGCTTCTTTCATCAGCGCTTTCTGGCTAATGGCGATGGCCTCCAACCTAAGAGAGATGGCTTCTTTATCTTCCTTCTGATCTACGGTTCTCGAACTTAGCTCTTAACACCGAAGATACCTGAGCATACAGCATACGTGCAAGAAGCATCCATGCTATGCTGGATCAAACGGCCCACGCTGTGATCTAGCAGAGCTGTTTTATGGTACCACATCAAAGTGCGATGCTCCAGTCCTCTTTCCAGCCATCTCCATCCCATACACGCCAGATCTGATCAAAGTCCATGCCTCCAACAGACTGACTAACAGCTTCCAAATGCTTTCAATGCGGGGCCTCATGTTGAACAATACGTTCTTGCAGTGTTGCTTTGTGCAAGTCCTGAATCCATTATATTGACTCAGCCGTATTTAAGGTCAGACAGTGGATATCATGGACGAGCACCTTCACTAGGACCACAATCTGCAATGACATTCCCAGAGAAGTCGGGCGCGTCACTGACAATCCAAGCATCTGTCTGAGCAACCTTGAACTGAAGTGGCTTTGAAGCCGTCACAGTGTGCAGCATCTCGACAAACACATCGTATGATATCAAATTGAAAGCCTACTTTATATTCTCATGCAACCACTTTAATCATCTTTAATCAAGTATTGAATGAAATGCTGGAGCCTACCAAAAAAGGCACATGCAAGCTAGCCCCACATGCTCTGCTACCCCTGCACCTGGTCCACTAAAGAGTTGCAAGCTGCTCAACTGACTCTCCACCTCTCGATGCCACCAAGTTGCATAGAACCTCAAAGAAACTAAGAACTGCGGAAAATTCTGAGGATGCCAAAATGGTGTGAGAAGTGTGGCCAAGCGGCAGGAAGAGGCGCAGCAGAGGCCCAAACACCTCCTCGGATTCAGCCTCTTCGTCCTTGGTCACAACCCTGGAGCCGTACCAACGGGAACATGCCAATTTCTGACGGATTCTGGATCTGCCAATTTCGACCACACTTGCCAGAACCGCGACTGTGCGCTGCTGCAACTACTACATTCCTGGTTTGAGCATGACGAGTAGCGGAGCGAGGCATATCTGGGGAATTGAGTTGGATTTCACGTTGGAATGCCAGCCGCCCACTTTTCACCTTCAGGGTTTGCAGCAACAGCACCATGTCATGCAGGTAAGTCACCAAGGAAGAGTACATCTAGGGCATTTACTCGAGAATCTTCAGAATATTCTCTGATTCTCTCAATGCCCTTTTTAGATTGGATGTGCAATTAGCTGACATTCGGATGCTCTAACGATGTTTCTTCTGATTCATCGACCTTCCAGAAGTGCCAAAGACCATTGAGGGCCACAGCATTGAAGCCTTCGCGGCCAGTGATGTCCACCAAGATCTTCTTAAACCTGGGATAGCTTAGCTCAAATTGCTCTTAGACTCTATCGACATCTTTGGGACTTACCATGCTCTTTGTCTGTTCCTTTAGATGCTTTCTTACTTAGGCCGCGCTGCTCATGGCTTTCTTCCACTTTAGGCCTTGGAGCAGCCTTGACACGGCCTGGCACTTGGGACTGCACAGCTGGGCGCCCTAGACTATCGTCACTGCTGAGTCTATGACACAGCATCGACCCGTCTGCGGATTCAGCGCCTTGCCCGAGCTGTTGAGGAAGCTTAGGGACTGTGGGTCGCTTCTTGCGCGCCTGAGGTGACCACACCACAACTCGAGTCTGCCCCCAATGTGGCGCCAGAACCGACATAACATCTAACCTGGTCCACTGTCTACCTTCAAATTGGACCAGCATCTGGCAACTGGAGAGGAATCCGTGAGCAATCAGCCAAGAAGCAGGACAACTTCCAGCTGCCGTCCAGAATGAATCCTCGGGAGAATCCCCTGGTCATAGTGAGACGTGGAAATAAGTGAGGTAGAATTAGAAAACATATCCTTTCTCATCAAGCTGCGTTTCAGAATATGTCGTTAATGATTTAGCTTGGCTCCCTTCAATATTAAACAGTCATAGAATATCATAGAATCATACTCAGAGTAATCAAGACCTGCGCTCCCTCTCAGTTGCAATCGAGACACTATGCTCGCGTCGATTAACGCGCGCGTCGCCATTGGACGCGACGCTCGGCTTGGCCGAGCCCGAGTGTTTAGGGATGGAGTAAGCCAAGCGTTTTCGTTTCGTTGTAAGTTGCGACTTAGGCTTTGCCATTTCATTTTCGCACTTAGGGAATGGGGGTTGCTGCAGAATCATCAGCACTTCCAGCTAGTTTGCCTAGCAATGCATATCACATAATATCTCTAAGACCCTGCAAATAAAGATAATTGCTGCGCTGCTTTCTGTTGCTGCGAACTGTTTGCTCTATTCGAGCCTACACGGCCCAAAACGGAGCCTAAAACACGTGATGCTTCGGTTTTCAGTCGATGAATATAGTGATCTCTGAGCCACTCCACTCACCATGTTACACTGTTACACGTGATAACACAGCCGGCCGAAGCACCTCCAAATGCAAAATAGGTTAAAGGCCGATTTGGGAAGTATAGCCTGGGCCCTGACCCTAAATGAGTTCACACTTAGTCCATGCCTTGTGATCGACTATGAGCTTCAGTTAAAAATTTCAACATGTTCATGTGGTAATTGCGTGCTGGAGAGTATCTTTATCTAATTATTGGGTTCATTTGTTGTCTTGCTAATTTCCTTACATTTCGATCTGGCGGGATCGAACCTCAAAATCTGTACATTGAACAGCTAGTAATGACAAACCATTGTTTCAGTTGACGCCTCAACCAACATCTCAGTGTCCATTTGTATAATCCTGTTTGCTGCAAATGCTGTTGCAAAATAAACATGTGTCTCTCTGATGTTGATCTAAGTCAACAAAGTGGTTGTGATGTTGAATGGAAATAATCCTCTTGAATATGCAGTCAGCCTCATTGATGAATGCTGTCATGTTGCCTTGCCTCGTGCATTCTGAGGAAAGGTCTAGCTCACGCAGCAGTACATTCGGTGCAGACCAATACAATTGACAATGCTGAAAGGTGCCTTGGAATTCCAACGAGTTTTGCTCTGCTTACGTCGCGTTGATGCTCGTGCACTTTTTGGCTGTTAAGATGCTTTTTGTTTGGTTCTGCTAAGTCAGTTCAACTAGCATTGCAAATCCAGGGCTCTCATGCATTTGCTTGAAAGTACTTCTTGAAATGCTCTTTTGGTTAGGCCACTCACCAGAGGCAGTTGATGATAGTGAGTAGTTGACGGTGTTGTGTGGTTTGGTTCTTCTGTTTGGCTGCTGGCTTTTGAAATGATCCATCAAATTGAACTATGGCTGATTCTGTGAAAGGTGTCCGCCGACCCCAGCCGATAGAGGGGGAGAGCGCCAAAGAATTAAAAGCATTGGTCACCGGAAACCGGCACTGACATGGTTCGTTTATGCTCCTCCGCTGCCTTGGCCACTCCAGTCCGATTGGCCATCACCACCAGCAGCTGCAATGTTTCTACCTAGGGGCGGGAGTGAAAGTCAGCTCTTTACATCTCCTTTTGCATCTTTCTATCGGTCCTTCCCTTCTTTTTGTCCTTGCTCTTTCTTTTTTTAAAGCCCGGGGGGGTAGGCCGTAAGAGGTAGCTCGTAGCTTCAGTAAGGTTCTAGCAACTGGACGCAGGATAGCTCACGCTTCTTCAAGGAAGCGCTAGCACTAATGATTTGGTTTCTAGATGTTACATGTTCCTAGAATTTTAGGGAAACTTGACAAGGATCCCTGTCTTTGCCACCAATCCAGCCGTTGGCTGAAAGCGTGGCCCCATCTTCACTCGCGCCCATATGTGCCCAGAATCTGAGATCGTGACTAGTTCAGCACTGTACAGCGCTAAAGGTCCGAACTTCACCACCTGTCGGAAATGCCATCTGTAATCCTTTGTAAATGTTCGGGACCAAATGTGCAGGTCTTCCCAATTGGCCTTACATGGTCTTCCCCTACATGGCTACAGGCCAAGTTGGCAAGCGGTTTGTTCGTCACAACCTCCCTACAGTGAGATTGATAGAAGGCTCCTCCAGCTGATGGTGCCTTGTGCAAGACCTTGATGGTGCCTTTGGTGACAGATCCCACCACTGGAATCCAACCTGGGAAACACACGAGGTCTTTCTTGGTCTTGCCTGGTGAGCATGGTGAGATCTGAAAACATCTCTGTGCGTGTGCGTGTTGAGCCTGCCAAGTCCCCCACAAGGCTGGGAGTTTCTGTTTCTCATGTGACCGTCACTGAGAAGCCAAACCCATGAGGTCCACGGCACCACCCAGCGCTAAAGACCCCAAGCGATGTGCCTTTTCTAACCTACGGCCAAGCCAAGATGACAAGAGCACAAGCAACATCATCAACACATGTTGAGACCTGGAATGGTGAAGAGACTATGCCAGGAGCTTCGTCACATTCCTTCATACTTGCACTGAGCGCCGTGCACAGTCTCTTCAGGGTCCACATGCACCGGAGGTGGTTCGCCTGAAGATTGAGGATCGCTTCTCTGGATGGCACAAAGAACACCTCAAGCACACTTCTCCCGCCTGCAAAAAAACTGTCAAGGGTGAGGTGCTCCTCCTTCACAGTGACCACCACCTGCTGCCAACTTCAAGAAATTGGCAAACAATGATCCTCCCACTGGGAACGTGCAAAACTGTCTTGTGTGGGGTCAAGCGGCACAGCTCCACAAGAGATCAAACAATGAAAAACTCGAACAACTAAACCGGTTGACGCATGACACGCGGCACCAACGGTCACCCTGCTATACCGGTCCACCAGCCTGGTCTCGTTCAGCAGCCTTGGATGGCACAACAATGGCTAATGACACGGTGAAGGAGAGAAAAAGCCTAACAAACATTGAGACCATCACGAGGTACATTATAAATATATAAAACGCTCGACGAAGTTGAAGCTGGGAGGACTCATCCAGGCTCAGTCCATCGCTTTGCCTAGGAGCGGAGAGGCAACTATAACATCGCTTGCGGTCGTCCTTGGGGTCCTTCACAGCCATATCACCTGTGCGAAATCACCGAATCAGCGAGCCCTGGTCGAACTAAAGCTTCCGTGTCTCGGGTCATTGACATCTTTGAGTCGTTTGGTTCATTTCACTACCTGCACAGCGTATGGGCGTATGGTCATATGTGTTGAGAATCGCGTGGCTTCAGCGAACGCTCAAGGGTTCATGTGGCCGCTGCGCCTACATCTCCACATGCACCACCATCTCCACTTTTTGTGGACTGGCCACACACCTCGTCACGGCCGAGTCCCAATTGACAAAGGCTACAAGCTCCATGTCGGCACTCTTGGCTGAAAAGAGCTGGCACAACCCAAACTGAACTTCATTGGCAATTGGAAGCTCAAGGTGACGAATGCATGCAATTCAATAGGCTTCCGTGCAGCACAGGGCACTGGTCCAACGGTAGAAAGACTGACCACAGAACCTCTCATGACTCCATCCGTCACCGATGGTCACCCAACATGTCGAGTGCCAACAATCTGTCAACTCATCGAGAAACAAAACAATAAGCTACTAGGAACAAGTGCATCGCTTCTAGTAACAAGTGCCTTACTAGTTACTAGTAGTAACAAGAAGCTATTAGGAACAAATAGCTATTATTAATTAGAATTTAATTAGAATTTAATTGTTGGACCCTGCCAGGTCCAACGTCTCTGTCCCCTCCCTCTCCCTCTCTAACCCCACGCCACACGCACACACCGCAGACGTCCTCATGAGTCCACCAGAATCAAATGCACTGATGCCTCGGGCATGCTCTACTGCGTCAGTTGCAGCAGCCTGGACGGCGGTTTGCCAATTCGGATGTCTTTCCGCTTTGTGTAGCAATGTTCGCTACTAGCAACAAAGGGCATCCCTACGAACGGAGCGATCGCACGCTACGAACGTAGCTCCTGGCCTTACTACTAGGAACAAGAAACTACTAGTAACAAGTGCATCGCTACTAGTAACAAGTGCCTTACTAGTAGTAACACGAACGCTACTAGGGGCTCCTGGCGAAGGCTCCTCTTTGTCCGTGGCCTTGGCCCGCTCCACATGGCGTTCCAATGCCGCAGTCGCACCCGTGCGCGCCTGCCACACAACGATTGTGGAAAACTCAACCGGCACTGCTCAGCGGTGTGCTTTTAGAATTGCAATGGCTCCGGTCCAACTACAACTGCAGTCATACTGAGTCCTACTGCATCATACGACATGAAATCAAAATGGCACAGCTGCAGTGGTTGCAAAACGCTGCGAGTGGAGCGTGCATCAGGCATCTATCCCTTCAAACAATCTCACGATCCTTCGGCCTGGTCCATGGCGGCCATGGCACCGGACAACATCTTGGGCTGCGCCTTGAGCAATCTTCAAGAACCGCAGGTTAAGAGTTTGCCTGCTTTCCAATAGCATTGTATCGACCAGCCGTCCAAGTCATATCAAGTCATCACACCATCCTCTAGTCTGGCATGTTACAAAGCCTTGACATTCACAACTGCTGAAATGGCTATGCTCTACCTAGCTTGTGCCAACTAGCTAGATTCTTTCAATCCTACTACACATACGCATGGTATTAACGTTGAGGTGCACAATTTACTTCTTCAACACTTCAGTCTGGTGACACATTCTCTCCGAGTGGCACACCAGCCAAGGCCCAACAAAGCCCGCCGATACGATAACTTTCAAGTTTTTGTCCGAACCTATTCCCTATTCCTGCCAATTGCTGTTAGAGAGCATGAAATTTGGAGGAGTTTTGTCAAGTTTTGTCTGGTTGATTCTGGTAGTAATGGTGAGAATGATTTTTGGGGGTCTGGGTTTCTCTGTGGCAGCTAGAGTGTGTGGCATCCCTTTACTGTCTCTTACTATTCTAAAGGGTGAGTGCCTAGTGTCTAGCATATGGAGCAATATAGCTACCATCTGTGATGGTCTAGAGTTTGGATCCTCAGAAGCCAGATCTGCGCCAGTCAAGACTCAGGCAAAGAACAAGCTTGAATGGGACTCAAGAGGGGCCAAAGTAGATCAAAGTAGTAGACCACTACTTCGACTGCTCTATGAGCTCAACCTCTGGCTTTGGGGCTTTGCAAGTTCCACGACATGGCTTGAAGTGTGCTTGGCAATGTCAGCGTGAAGTTTGGCTTTCACTTGGCTGGTACAACCCTGAAACACATGTGTCTCTGATTGCAGTCGCTTCATCTGTCCACTGCGTTGACCTGCTGTACACGAGAGGAGAGTCAGTCCATCGGACATCCGCTGAAGAAAACTGGGGCACGCTTTGCAAGTCTGGCTCGTCCATGAAAACAGCGAAGATAAGCTGCCACATTCTTTGAAACGTGCAACGGGGTGCGAAGGAAGATTTAACCCCTGCGACGTTTGCAGCAGCCCAGCCCGAAAATCAGCCCAATGGTGCCTTTTGCAACTCCTGCATTGCTGCTGTTGGCATCTTCGCAGCAAATTTGGCCCACTGTTGAGAGAAAGCGTCGGTTGCGCTCCAGTGTTCCTGGGGTATGGATCATGTTCCACTCCAGTGAAGCGTCCTTGCCCAAAAGCCTAGCTATGGCTTCCTGACCGCCAGGGTGAAGGGGAATCCATCTAGTCACGTCGAGGGCCTCGCCATTGAGAATGATCCAAGCATCCTGCAGTTTGTTGTGCAGAAACACTTCTTCCGCAGTGACTCCTTTGGGCCCTTCCACTTCATCGAGAATTCTCCCCGACTCCACCTCAGTAAGGAGCTTTTCCATGCTGGTGTCTTCGATCATCATTGCTTCAAACAAGTGCTCCCTGTTCAACAGGCTCACCTGAACCCTCCCCACTTTGAGCCATTCCAGGCAACCATCAACATGGTTGATGTCTCTTTCAGGTGTGAAACCCCTGGGACCTATCTTGTGAATGCGGTCCATGAAGAATAATTAAGTCATGAGATGTCATTTACCATGGTCCAGTGCACATAGCTGAGCGATGCTACGTGTTTATGGAATTAACATGATGTATGCAATGCATGCACCTGCATGTGGCATCTTCAGCCTGCCAGGCCAAATTGGAATTTGCACACCATCAGAATGCAAACACTTCGATCAGGCAGCAGGTTAAAGCTTTTCACTTTCACATCTTGATTTATTTCGCTTTGGAGGCATGGAAGCACAGGAAATCCTCAATTTTCGGCAGTAGCACTTTGGCCACCCTGCTGGAATCCTGAAGCTCCAAATACACATCAAAGTCCAAGACTGGCACCTTCAGCGCCCGAGCCACTGGCAACAAAGGCGTCAGCAATGAAATCATCGCCTCCACCATAGTGGTACACAGGCAGTGGAAGTGATTGAGGTATCATTCTGTGATATTCTGTGAGGTAGAGTTACATTTGCACATTTCTGTGGTTTCAAGACTTACCGCGTTCTCCCAAAACCATGCCAACTACCAATATGTCCGGCGGATCACACCCTGTCGTGTTAAGCCGCAGGCTGCAGGTAACGACCCGCAGCCTGAGTCGGTGCCCCACCGGCCTTGTTGGACTCCTCTGAGAGGAAAGAGATGTGGCACGGTGGGCGGGTGCCATTCTCACGCAGCAAAATCGCAATTGCTGGCCTTGCGGCATCGAACTGATCCATGTCCTGCACGATCCGCCGCATGGTCCCACCCCGGTCAAAATGATAAAATGGAAAGGGAGATTCCGAGGATGGCTGGGATCGAAGCCCACAAACCGAGGCCTCCAGAGCCCTTCCGAAGCAGACTTCAGAATGCGAGTTGCATTGCGGTGGAATCCTCAAAAAGCCACTCTCCGGATGTCCCATCATGTCCCATCCGCCCTCCCTCCTGAAGTTCGATGTTCTTCGGCAAGGCCGCTGTGATGCGTGGCAAAGCCACCACGCCATCGCCCTCAGATGCCACCACCAGCAGCGGGTCGGTTGGAACCGTTTGTGGCGCCAAGCCGGCAATGGCCACGCGACCGCATTGGAAGGGCCCAGGAAAAAGACTCGCCTCAAACAGCCCAACTGGACGGATGTTTGACTGGAATATCAAGCCTATAGGGCCTAGAGGGCCTATGGCTACCGAGAACCACCATGGAAACCCTTTGGGGGTCTGCAACACAAGCTTGAAGATTGGTGGGAAATGGTTCACCTGGGCCGGAACAAAGAGGTTCAAACTCGGTTGAAGACGGTTGAGGAATGTCGAAAGTACTTCAGCTCCAGGCGTCAACGCCTGACAGGGAGGCTCCTTCAGCCATTTCCTCCAAGTGACAGTGCCTCCACCAGCTGAATGCCCAACAATGCCAAAGTGCTTTACGGCAAATTCCTTCTGAAGGCGCGTCAGCAGTTCTTCCATGATGTCTTGTCGCGTCACCTCACGCAGCGGGACCTTTCCGGAGAGGCTCTCGGCAAAATCCGGCGCGGCGACCACAAAACCACACTGTGCAAGTTCTTCACACAAATGCAGCATGTCAAACCGACTTCCTAAGTATCCATGTGCAAAAATGATCGCACAGCTTTCACGAGGTAAGCCTTCTGCAAGACGCCTTTCTTGTAGTTCTGTCTCTTGACGTTCCACGGGGATGGGCTGGGCTTCAGGATAAATTGGTTTGCCTGCCCTCAACCGAAACTCCCATCCAATACCTGGTAGCTCTGTGCCTTGAAGAACTTCCACTATTTTCGCCACACTGATGAAGTGTCGGTAGGGCAACTCCTTGCTGACACGGCCTGGGGTGGCTGGATACCAGAAGCTCACTGGAGCCTTCTTCCCTCGGACACGGATGTGGCTGGCCCTATAGCCCACTGAGACACGACCAAAGGCCAATGCAGAACAGCTTGTGATAGCCAGTGCCAGCGGGAATGCGCTCCTACAGTCTACCACAAGCCACAAGCCCGGTAAGCTTGTCATGAATTCTCAAATCTATAGAATTGAATCTACCAGCCTTGACTATCATTGATCGATAACCCCCCCAAACAAGAACACCAACAGAAGCTTTCTGCCTCCTGCGCACAGGCTCGGCCACGTACACTGAAGCTGTTGGGCGATTCGCAGGCAAGGAAGCCATGGAAAGCGATGGAAGAACCGACAGATCGTCACTGACAGTGAAACCATCATCGAACACCATGTGATGAGTCTGTCTCCAAATTGGGGGCCTCAACTGACCGAGTTTGGCCTCCCCATGTTGAGATATGGAATTCAGGGCATGACCCGCCAGACTGGTATAAGCATGTATGGTATAAGCCAAAGGCTTCTGACAAGCATCAACATTTTGAGGCCAAAACTAAGCCACATCCTGCATGCCACAAAAGGAAAAAGGCGGCCTTTGTGAGGAAGAAAACAACAAAGGCAGCAAATTTCTTTGGACTCAGGGCGAGGGTCGCTCCTGTCCTGCCAGGCCCTGAATGAAAATGGCTCTCACTGGAGGAAGGGACGGTGGTGAACGAAGTGCCATACCTTTGCATTTCGCGTCCACGTTGTGTTCCGAAAGTCTTCATCTGATTCCATGTGATCGTATGGTCCTACTCTCCAGATGAGTACTGTAGGAAAAAGTCCATGTCAAATGGTGTCCAAAAAACATATCAAGTCCTGAGCTCATTTGATATTGTTGTCCAAGCTCGTTCTGCTGCTCTAGATGCGAGGCGACCCACGGTGCTGTCACGACCTCCGGGCTGGCAGGGCAAGGGTGCCGGCATGCAACCCACAATGGGCCATTGTAAAAAAGAAACATTGAAGACATTGGAGAAGAACAAAAGAAGGTAATTATAATATATATATATATTATATACAGTATATAAAGGCTTCTAGCAATATCTTTATGTCTTTGGTTTTTGTCTTGCACTGTTTCATGCTGTTGCCGCATATGCATGGCGAGGCACACTCCATGATCTTTGTCCTACAAAGAGAACACAGCTGGGCAAATGGGTGAGCCTGCGCTCAAAGTGAAAATGACTTGAATGCATGTCAGAAGCTTGGCACTGTTGATGTCCTTTCAATCAGCTCCTTTTGCCAGGCCGCTGGGAGCCACCTGCGGTCGAAAGCCAATGGCTTTAGAGCCCAAATTCAACCAAAGATCTTAGCTCAACACCAGGCTTTGATAGAATCCCTGCACCAAATTCTGCCAAGCCGCCAGTTGACCATGTAGCCAGAGCCTTTCTGATGACTTGCCCCGAGAACAAAGCATGCATCACCTGCACTTCAGCGCGGCAATGACAGAAGCGAGGCTTTCATCAATAGACGTGCGTGCACTGTGCACCCACCACCCATCCCCTACCCCCACGCACCCCGCTCTGACCAAGGCAGAAACCGCCAGGCAGTTTCAGTGGCGCAACACGGCCAAGTCGCGTGGACCCAGGCTGGTGACAAACATCCCAGCTCCCCAAGGCCAGTAGGTGTTTTTCAACTCCTGCCCGGAGCGAAAATCATCCAAATCGGCTCAATTGGCATGTTCTAGATGAGCAGGAGCACACTCTCATGAAAGAATATGAATCTTGATGTCTCCAGCTGTCTCTCCTTGGGCTTTGAGCCTGCCAACACCCTCAGGCTAGCGCACGCATGCGCAGCCTGCTCCTCGCTCGGGAAGGAGACCTTCAAAGGGCAACTCACATTCGTCACATTGTGGTTGTGACCTGTTGACAACGCCCCCGCTTAATTAAAGGTCTTGGGCACATGCAACTCTTTCAAATCATGCAGCTGATGCCTTTGGCACTGGTGGCATGATCCAATCAGGCGGATTCCCAATGCAACCTCAGATGATGACCCTTGACTCCCCACAGTCCCAAATGCCAAAAGTGGGAGTTGAAAAAACTGACGAATGAAGAGCTGAAAGGCCTAGACCGCCAGAGATCTTCCAGCCATGGCGGCGCCTTCTTTCATTTTCTTCCCTAGTAGCGTCCTTGCTCCTAGCAGTATGGCCAGGAGCCCCTAGTAGCTTCTTGCTCCTAGGGCTCCTAGTACCAAGCCTTTCCAGTCTCTGGGAGGGGTACCTGGAAGCCGACGTGCCCTGCGTCAAGGAGCCGTAGTTGCAATCGCCGACGGCGAACACTCGACCCTCTGCCCAGGTTTCTCCAAGCGGTTCGTTGCCACTTGGCCGCAAAGTGACCTGAAAGTGCACGTCGCTTCGCGCTCGGCAAACAGCAACAATCCGAGTCAGCGAACCAGAACGACTTGGCTGTTTGGCGATTCTTTGGTCACCCATCGCCTGCAACTTCTGATTGAAGTGAATCCAACCACCGCCGCCTCACAGGCAAGAAGTTGGACTGGAAAGGATTCAAAAATCAATAAAAATCGCACATTCGCCTGGCTCTCACGAAGAAATTTGAAGCGGCCAAGGAAAGATCAAATGGCAATGAGGCACCATGTTTGTTCAAACATGTTCAAACAGTATTTTCAAAATCTCATCATCAGCTTGGCCTGGCCCGCGTACGCCTCAAACAGCTGCCCACGGTGCCAAAGAAAAAGAAGAACCACGACTGGTCTTGGTATCTCGAACAATCCAATCATTGGCAGTTGAGCGTCTGAGGGTTTCAGCTGGCATGAAATAGTTTGAAGCCTTCACACCAATGCAAACCTCAGCTTCAGTTCTGAAGTGGCATATCATCATAATTGGATTATAGACGCCGAGCTAAAGCTTCAAGACTGCACCAGTTCGTCCGTAGTCCTTTTTGGGGGGAGATGATGCCACATTTGGCCTGCACCACTAAAACTCCAAACATGGGAGGTCATCCTGCCAAGCCCTTCTCCAGATCCAAGTAGCGAAGGTCCTTTCTGCCTTCATTGGAAGACCTATCTGATCCCAAAAGGCTTGGCTTGCCTCAAGGAGGCTTGAGTTGAATTGATAGAGGGAGAGGGGAGAGGGGGGAAGGAGACAGAACTCACGCAAACAAACGTCCATGCAAGGTTGAAGCTCTTGTAGCTCTTATGGTCGCTAAGGCGCAGGGTCATACTTGATGTCATAGACCTGCCTCAAGCATTGGGCTACTTAGGGAAAACCATCGTCAATGAGCCCATGATTTGAAGGGAACATGATTTTGGGCAATGCAGGCAAGCTGCTGGATACCGACCTTTGTCCTAAGCTGCAGAAAGCGTGGGACCGCATCAAAGGTCTTCTGTATGCATCGAGGCGTGTTTTGGAAAAATGGCTCGGTCACCGCTCTTCCCCTACTGTGACTGCAAAACGGTCGTTGGCCTGTGTGCAAACGATTTTGGACTGGAAGTATTAATCCCACTTGGTTTTGCCAAGAGTTGCGGCTTGTGATGAAAAGTGTTTGATATGCGCAGGCCGGTTCATCGCAAACCCTTTATGACTCAATTCATTCCAGCATATCGCCTAGAGCACATCCCAGAACACCTCAACAGTCAGGAAGTGGCTGCAAAATGTGTCACCTCCCCTCTTACAGTAATCTGAGGGCCAACCATGCTGCAAAGGAGTTGGCAATTGCAAAAAAAAGAAGCCGACTGTGTGCTGGTCGCAAAGAAGCCGGCTTGGCTAGTTGAGCTCGACAAATTGCTGCCTATCTTGTAAGGCAAGGCCAGGTCGACAGGATCACGAGCGAAATTTGCATGTGGAACGCACCGGCGATGCTTTCAAGCTTTCCTTGGGAAGCCGTCTTGCCCAACGAGCTACAACCAAAGCCATCTTTGCCTACCTTGAGCTGGGAGGTTGCCCGATGATTTTTGGTTGGTTCGCGACTCCCACTTCATTCGGGGCACTTGGAGTGCTTCTTCATTTCCGTTTGTTTTAGAGCTTGATCATGACCACTACAAGCCACGAATCGCAATCGCTGAAAATAAAGTCGCTTCCCTTGCAAAAAGATCGGTACGAGGGGTTCACATCATGGTTGCATCAACTAGTCCTTTACCATGAGTGAAGCCTATGTCCAACACGTTCCGATGGCATCTTCTGAATGTACCAGACCATACCTGGATACCTGGCCAAATCTCTTCCGACATGCAGGACACAGCGCTGGCAAGGCTTTTCTGCGAGGCTCTTGGTCGTGACTCATCGTGACACTATTTCAGATTCAGATCATCAAAGCTCACGAAATGAGTCCGTATCTCAAACTTAGTCCGTCTTGGAAATGCCATGATCCAGAGAAATATGGTGGAAGTGCTTCGAGAGGCTTCGGGAAGAATGACATTACTCACGCTTTGCCGGGAAGCTTGCATTCGGCTATGCCAGGCTGTATCGTCGTCGGTGCATGTCCGTATCTTGAAGACGGATGTTTGGTGCACTTTGTCAACTTGTTTGATGCGGGAGTGGGGTGGAGTCTCGAATCCTGGAAGATCCAATCTCTTGATTCAATGCTTGCACGTTTCACTTGTTTTCCTTTTTAGTTGTCTTCATCTGTAGTGAGGCAACACACTGAACCTCCTTTGACGAGGATGGCAGCAAAAAAAAAGGCGGATACAATCCGACACATCCGCCCTGCAGATTGGGGACTCGGCACGGGAGGTTAAAAATCCGCCCGCACCAAAGGTGCTCAGGGCGTGATCATCCGGATAGCATAAACAACTGTAAGGTACAGGTTTACCCGGGGGTGGTATTTTTCGACTTCAAAAAACACCGTCTTTACAGCACGGAATGGACTAGTGGATTAGTTCGTGCATGCGCCCGGAGCCGGCAAGAGAAAAGTGATAAAAACCCAGTGTTTTTCACGTTTGGTCTTCGATTTTCGGACGCGCAGTGTTTTTGTACATTGCCGAGGCTTACGGTAAGTTCTTTGCGCAAAAATGCAAAAAAGAACTCGCAAATAGCAGTGTTTTTGGTGACAATGTTGTTGAAAACGTCGCAAATTGCGGTGTTTTTTGACAGCAGTTTCAAGAACCCTGTAAATAGCGGTGTTTTGGGCCATGGCAAGCTCAAAAACATCGCTATTTGCAGTGGTTTCTGCCTCACAGAGTATAAAAACACTGCTAAATACGGTCCTACGTAGTTGCGTTTTTGGCAACGTCAACCTCAAAAACCTCGCTATTCGCCGTTTTTGTTGGGCAACTGTTTCATGGCGGTGCGGGCGGACCTTGCCGCGGAGCGGCGTGAATATAAAGTACACCAAGCACTCAAATTCTGGGGCAAGACTCAAAGCCAAAAGAGGCAAAAGGCCAATTCGGATCTACTGAATCGGTTTGGAGATGGTGACCGGATAGTATCAAGATGATTTTCAGCCTTGTGCCTAAATCGATTTTGACCACGAAGTTGAATGTATCAGAACTACGTAGTTGTGGAGAGGGATATGGCATGCTTCAGGCCGGATTCAAGTCGATCCTTGGAGGTCGTTGGCCATATTCACATAGCGAGTTTCAGAGTGCTTAGAAGAGGTTTCGTTGGGAGGTGGGCATGAAAGTCCAGATGCTTGCAGTCTATGGCTATTGTGCCACTCGACACACTGGTAGGAATTGCCCACATCAAGGTAGCAACCTGGACTGACACTGTCTTGAGTCGATGGTAGAAAGCTGAGCCTGATACGAGCATAGCGCATACCGAAAGAAAACCCCTTCCCGGACCAGTGCTGAGGATTTAACAGCGGAGCCGACGGCGTCGCAATCTAGAGCACCCGTCTCATATTGTTCATGGAGCAAATGATGCTCCATGATGTATCAGGAAAGCTCGAAAAACCTTAATAACCTGGCGAGGGCAATAGCTATATATATATATATATATTTATGTGTGTGTAATATAAATGCTTTGATTCAACCCAGGTAGAACCTCCGAGCGGACGGTTGCTCTCCTGTGAGTCTTCTATGGCGCAGTATTGCACAAACCAAGAGGGTGCATCTGTCACAAACCGCGACGGCAACCCCCTTGTCAACCCCGTTTTGTCCAATGTGAACCCAAAAAATTTGCAGCTAGATGCAGTTGGTCTGCGATGATTTTTGAGATCAACCTGAGCAAGTTGGAGGAAGAAACTTTGAGGATGGGACATTTTGGTTAGCAGGATGGTCCTAGCTGCCATATCGATCGCACAATGACGCCGAGATGTTCAAGGAATCAAGGCCAGCTGCCTTAAACGGTTTCATACTGCGATTTCTTCTTGTGCTTCAAGTGGGGGTCATCCCCTCCATTCGTATTCAATTGTGCTAGAAGGTCATCGATTATGCATTGCCAAGCTTGGTTTGAGACAGAAATTGCGAGTGGATCTTAATCAACGAAGTTTGAAGCTATCACTGACGGTCCATAAGCGGCGTAGCGTCGGAACGGAAACCGCACCTTTTCTAGTCGCTTGATCCTTGAGCCAAAGTACATATGGTACATATATATGTACAAGTTGCACTGTACGTGCCGCTGCACTTCCATTCGCAGAAATCATGACAAAACAAAACGAATAGCTCACGTAGCCACATCACATTGGCGACAAGTACTCTTCGAACCCCTGTGAGGGCTTCTCATACGAATAATTGGTTTGCTAAATTGAAAAAGTTCTGTGTGGAAGTTTGCCCGGTGTGTTTTCAACTGTCAATAATAAACCTTCCTGAGATGGAATGTTGATCTTAACCCTTCAAAAAAAGGGCTTTCCTTTGAGGACTTGAGCATGTTCACAAATTCTGATGACCCCTCTGGAGGCTCTCATAAGGTTGGCATCCTCCATGACTTTGTTGGGCTTGAATTGCCTTGTATTTTTAGTAAGCAATGTTTATCATGTTTGTCAACTTGCATACTGAGAACATGAGGCACCGAGACTTGCACGATGATATAAAAACTGCCAAGCATCATGTATCTCTCACAATATTTGGCTGCCCTTTCCGGGAGTGGCCCCAGGCAGCGTGGCAGCACATCCACAATGGTCAGCTTCAGCTTTGGGAAGAAATGCCTTATCCAGAGCCTTCTCAGGCAACCCCCGCTTGTATCGGCTCTCCGTTAGACAGTCCAAACAATGTTTCTCCTGGTGAGGCCATGAATGCCAAGAGGCTGAAGCTCAGTGACCCACTCCACACCAATAAATCCAGCACCCACCACCAATATTGAAGCTTGCCTTTAGCTCTAGATGTCCAAAAGGTCCAAGGTCAAGTCAATGAGGGTCCAACAGTGAACTAGTGAAAGTCACTGCTGACTCAATTCAAAGCGTTCCAGACTGTCACCCGCACCTCTCATTTAGCACCGCCAGCTTCTCGTGTTCCTGCGGGCATTGAGGTTGGACTTCATATACTTCTGCCGCAGTGTTTCTGCCACAGTGGAGTTTAGTCGCATCAGCTATATACTCACCCCACGACAATACGATGGTCAATAAAAATGGCTTCATTGCCACTGGTGAAAAGTCACATTCAAAGGCAACTATCAGTAGAAGACCCCGCACAAATATGAATACGCTGCAGCGAAAAGGCAGCAATGGCGATTCAAGGCTTGACCAGTAGCAGTGGCGAGGGTGGACATTGAATTAGATTGAGTCACATTGCTAATAGCGGCATTGTGACTCGGACCATTCACACAATGAATCAAAGTTGATCACTAGTCCTTTGTACCAGGCACGTTTCAAGGTCCCGTCAAGAATCCCAGCCTCTCTAAGTCTCTAAATAACACAAAAGACTCACTATTAGGTTGGAGGACATCGCTACTAGGGTGGAGGTCATCGCTAGTAGGTTGAAGTCTCTAAATGGCACAAAAGACTCCACCAACACGTCCTCACCGTCCTCACCCTCTCAAACATCAACGTCCACCGACCTGCCTCGAGGATGTGACGCCGGCGACCTGCAAATCAACATCACTAACAAAATCATGTGGATTTATCATTTATTTTGTAGTGAGCGACTCTCAAATGATATACTGTAATGAATATAACATAGTGAGTTAATAAAATAAACCTAATCATTTGGTACATGAATAGATTAATTTTAGTGAGTGACTCTCAGAACTGTTCACCTTCCTCTACCAAACTGTCTGGCCGGCTGCACGCTGCAAAGCGAACTCCTCTTTTCCAGCACCTAGCCAGGCGTCCAGCCTTCTAAATAGCGTTCGTCTATCTCTGGCCAGGCGCTCTCCTGCAGTGCAGCCCAGGCAGCTTACGGGTGGAGGATCAAAAGAAAAAACAACCAAGGATCAAAAACAAAATAAACTCAAGAGATCAAAATAAAAACAAACAGGGATCAACGACAAAACAAAAAATTGCGATGTTGCAATAAAACCAGGGCACAAACGAGGATAACATAAAAACAAACAAGGATCCAAAAATACATAAAAGGTAGGTAGGCAGGGAGGTAGGTAGGTAAGTAGGTAGCAGCAGCAGTAGTAGTAGTAGTAGTAGCAACAGCAGTGGCAGTAGTGGTGGTAGTCGAAGAAGAAGTAGTAGTAGTAGTAGTCGTGGTCGTAGTCGTAGTAGTAGTAGTAGTAGTAGAAGCAGGAGCCGGAGCAGCAGCAGCGGGAGTAGAAGCATAAGAAGAAGAAGAAGAAGCAGAAGTAGAAATAGCACTTGGAACAGCAGTAGTAGCAGTAGTAATAGTTGTTGTAGTACGAAGAAGAATCAAAAGAAGAAATGGCACTTGTATAACCAGCAGCAGCAGCAGGAGCAGGAGGAGTAGTAGTAGCAGTAGTAGTGGTGGTGGTGGTCATGGTAGTTGTAGTGCAGAAACTTCCATGCAAATTGCGGGGCTGCAGTGGGGAGTGGGGCTGGGCTCGGTCACTAACATGGGCTCCGAAACTGGTAGGGGTTGGCAGTAGTAAGTAGTAGAGGGGGAGTAGTAGTAGTAGTAGTAGTAGTAGGAGTAGCAGTGGTAGTAGTCGTCGTCGTCGTAGTCGTAGTAGCCGTAGTTGTGGTAGTAGCGGTAGTACTGGTAGTAGTGGTAGTAGTAGTCGTCGTCGTAGTAGTAGTAGGAGTAGGACTAGGAGGAGGACTGGGAGTAGGAGTATGTAGTGGTAGTAGCAGTAGTAGTAGGGGTAGCAGTGGTGGTAATAGTAGTCGTCGTCGTGGTGGTGGTGGTGGTCGTGGTAGTGGTAGTAGTGGTAGTGGTACTGGTAGTGGCAGTAGTGGTGGTTCGTTCTTTCACCACTACTTACACCACTCATCTTACACCACTCAACTCACACCACCTATCTTACACCACCTATCTCACACCACCCATCTGGCACTAGTCATCTTACACCCATCTTACACCACTCAACTCACACCACCTATCTCACACATACTCATCTTACACCACTCATCTTACGCCACTCAACTCACACCACCTATCTTACACCACCCATCTTACACTTACACCTGGAGTGCAGATTTTCGTGGCAGGCGCAGTGCACAGAGGCTTCAGGAGGAAGACTTCGTGTACAGCATGCACTCATCTTACACCACTCATCACACACCACTCATCTCACGCCACTCACCACACACCACTCATCTTCCACAACTCATCATACACTACCCATCACACACCACTCATCACGCACCACTCATCACACACCACTCATCACACGCCACTCAGCACACACCACTCATCACACACCACTCATCTCACACCACTCATCTTACACAACTCATCTCACACCACTCATCACACACCACTCGTCACACACCACTCATCTTACACCACTCAACACACACACCACTCATCACACACCACTCATCACACACCACACATCACACACCACACATCTTCCACAACTCATCATACACCATCACACACCACTCATTTCACACCACTCATCTCACACCACTCATCACAGACCACTCATCACGCACCACTCATCACACACCACTCATCACACACCACTCATCTCATTCACTTTTATCGCCCGGGATCTTTCCGTCCTCTTTTCTTATCAGTCTCTACTTTTTGTTGATAGTTCTTACAAGCTTAACATGTGGGGTTATCTGGTCCTTTTATTTCTTTCTTAATTGTTTTTTTTGTTTATCTGTCTTTCTCTTGCTTAGTTTCTTTCCGTCTTTCTGTCGTCTCTTCCACGTATTGTTTCTTGATGTATGTTTGTGTGTTTCTTGATCCCTATTTGTTTTTTAATTGATCCTTATTTGTGTTTTTTTTGGATCCCTCTCCCGCAGCTTACCCAGTGGCCACTTTGGCCAGTTTTCGGTCCTGGCGAGCTGCCTCGTGGATGGTGGGAAACCACAATGACTCTCCCCACCTGAGATGAAGGAAGTGAAACAGGCCACCAGCGACAAACCAAGAGAGGGGAGGTGTCAGATCATGGTGGTTGTCCAAAAACCTCATGAGCCAGCAGCTTTTGCCAAGGAGCTTCTCAAAGGGGCCGAAGTTGCCTTAGTGCAGGGCACCAAGTCACAAGGATCAAAACCTCGGACCCGGATGTATCAAGTTGAACTTCTGAGACCTGCAGTGATCAAACCTCTTCCCACACAGCCAAAGGGGCAACCAGAGCAAATCACACAGTAGTCGAAGCTCCTTAGGCATTTTCTCTCTCTCTCTCTCTCTTGCTCTCTGGTCAAAAATGTGGTGGTGGGACCCTGGTAAAATGTCATGGGACACTCTACGTGCTGAAATCCTGAGATCCAAGTTTCAATGTCAGAATGCCACCCGATTCCACATGTGCGCTCTCATTTCTAACCAATGCTTTGATCTCCGCACTGACTTGGCTGTCTGCCTGAGTCGAGCAGCCGCAAGCATCCCCCACTAGGCAACCGCAAGCGAAGCGGTGGGAATTCCTAAGCACCTGGGCTTAGGGGGGTTACAGCATGACATGCGGTCAGCTTGCTCTTTGGGGATCTGTTTGGGATGGAACTCTGGCGATGTTTGACATGGAGGTGGTGATCTTCCAAGGTCATCTGCACCCTTGTCAAACCATTGGACCAGGCACATCTCAATGAAAGAGGTGCGGACATCCCTCTGCTGTGAGGCTCTCAACTGCCGCCAGGTTGCGAAGCTTAGTTGCTTCACTTCTCCTTCAGTGGGATGTTCGATGCAAACCCGTCAAAACATCGGGTACCTGAAGTGCACATCCCATCTTGGGAAACACCTGAATTTGTCGCAACACATTCTCCTGCCAGAAACGTCACGGCCATCTTGGCCATCACAGGCTGCAGACAGAAGCTCAATGAATCGAAGTGCGAGGGGTGCCTTGGTCACACCATGGCCACCGTGGCTGCATGCCACTGCATGCCGCTTGTTTGTACATCTAGAGGTGCCACGTCCTTGAGACTCAGAACATCACTGGTTCGCAGGTTGCTCCAAGGCACGAGCAATGACGGTTGAGAATAAAACCGTTGAGGGGATGTTGGATCTGAGCCTTCAGTCAAGCCACACAAAGGCTCTCAGGATGCCGGGCGTGAACTCCATATACTCCTGAAACAGTCAGGAACTCCAGTTGAACCAACACAACATCTACCAAGGCCTGAAAGGTGAATCTGTGCACCAAGGCTCTTGGAGGAAAACTTGCACTCTTTTCCTCTGCTTCGAAAATGACACTCCTTGGCATCGACCAAGGTGATATCGAAGTCCCGCCTGATGACACAGGCCGTCTAATGGAATTCTGACCCAACCAAACCTCGATAAAATCTAGATACATCATCAAAACAAAATCGATTATTCTGTATTATGCGTCTTTTCATGGAACTTGCCTCCTCCACCACCAGAGCCTGCATCCTTTGACTAATTACCCGCAGGGCTTGAATCTAACACAAATGCCTAAAATGCAATGAACTCCACTCTTATCGCCCTGTCCATTCCCACCAGCCCCACAGAGCTACCCAGCACTGAGCCTCAGCTCCCGACAGCAAAAAGTGCCCGAAAACCTCAAACCGGCACATCCGCACAAAGTGAAAGAGCTTCAAGGGCGTGAAAACGAGTCAGCAGCCACACTTCCAGCTGTGCGTGATTCAACCAGCGGAAGCAGGATGAATCACCACACTCTCAGATTCCCATAAAATCAAAATTCCTCAAACAACCAAACAAACAACAAGGACCTCAAAGGTCCCTAGAAAGCCCCCCAGCCCTCCTGACGCTGCTGACCAGAAGGCTGCCCACCGATCACTAGAAGGCGGGGCTTGGCATTGTTTATGCCGAGAAAAGGAGTGTCAAACCTGCAAAGGAAAATGCAACTTCTACACTCGGCCAGTTGTTTGAAACCTTAGGCACATTCACCGCACCTGGCACTCATTGCCGGGCCCAATGGCGCGACTGCCTTTAATGCTAAGAATTGGTGGAATATTTGCCAAATGTCTACTGCCAAAACACGCCCACATGGTGGGACAAAGCCGATACAGCCATCAAAGATTTTAGAATTGAATGGATGTCTCGGGCTGGGGTGGAACGACACGAGTGTAGCTGAGAAGTCTGGTCCCCTCCTCCGATGTGATATAAGGACTGGGTCATCGGTTACAAACTTGATTTAGGCAACGTAACGTACAAGTCTACGCGTGTTGGTAATTCTTACATTCGCAAATCCCAGCTCAAAACCCAATGAAATGGCTGCAGCTTTGAGCCGTTAGGGCGCCACTCCATGCAAGGATGATTTGAGCGCATCGGACGAACCAATCTGGCCCCACAATGTGGCAAATGCTCTTCTTCGCGGGACGGTCTGAACAACCACTGCTTGCGGTCTGTGAAACTAAGGAGGTGAGCAATCCTTGGTGGATAAAAGCGCAACACTGCCACTCACTAGCCGGTTCATTCTTTCTGGCGTGCTGCATGTAGTCGCGCCTGTGGGAGCAGGAGCTGAAACTCTAAAATGCCTGAATGAGCAACACACCTGTGGTGGTTTGGCGGTGTTGTTTCGGGTTACGGGGTTCCCTGAGACACTTCCGAGCAAAAAAGAATAACTAAAGACTAAAGATCTGAGAAGGGAGGGGGCGAAAGCCAGCCTCTGGCTTAGGGGGTGCCCTCAGGGCAGGCCCGGGCAAAGACTTGGCGTGCAAGAGGAAGTGATGGTGTAACATCGGGCAAAGATTAATTTCATGGGGTGAAGTTGACATCGCAGCCACACTGATAGGAGGTAATGGAAAGTAGAAGACATAGGTTTGGGGGGTTGCCCTTTTTAAGAAGGGCATCCCTAAGGAAGTGAGGCGCGCTTTCCGGCGGAGTGTTGCGAATCAGTGAGCAAAAACGGCGGTGGGGGTTCATGTACGAGGCTTTGGGTAGGTGAGGATATATATAAATATATATGTAGGTAGAGTCCAGGTAGAGTGGACAAAGAGTAGCCGGAAGTGGTGAGGTTGATACTGGAGCGACGTGAGTGTGCAAGATGAAGTGATAGGCTGACATCATGCGAAGAGTACGTTTACCGGGTGAAGTTGGCATGGCAGGTACGCGATAGGATGTAGAAACAAACGGTAGAATTAAAAGGGGGGGTGCCCTTGTTCGTCCGGGTTCAGAAGTGTTTTGGAGGTGAAAAAGGGCACCCTCAAAGAGTTTATGTGAGTTTGTCGGCTGCGTGTTGGTAATGAGTGACCAGAGACGGTCGTGGGCGAGGCTATCGGCAGGCCTTCGTGAGGAAATAGGTACAGTGGACAAGGAGGAGCTGGAAGTGGTGAAGTGGAATGGCCGTCACTCGAGAAAGAATGGAAATAGAGAGTAGAATAGAGAGGTTTGGGATGGGTCCCTTTTTGCATCTTGATGTCGGGGCGTTGTGGAGAGGAAAAAGGCCACCCTTGTAGTCTGGGGAAGATTTGGTCTATGTTTCAAGTGAATTGAGGGCTGGCTTTCGTGATTAGGTATCCCCTTGTCCTCAACAGATGACATCATGCACCATGTGGGGTGACCTTTTCAGTCCAGCAACTAGGCCTTGCTACGAATAAAACGGGCACCCCTAAGCTATTCAGGACCTTCCGCCTCCACCGCTTGCCCGCTGCAATCTCTTCTCTCTCCTGCCCTCAACAACCCCCCCAATCCACGTGAACTCTCACTGCATAGGGGGTGCCCTCTCCAGTCCGGCAGCAACGCTAAGCTTGGCCGCAACTACAATCTGTTCTCTCTCCATGGCCTCCTGAGCACCGGACAACTCCAAATCGTCTGCCTCCAGCGCTTGCTCGCTGACCTTCTCCAACGCTTGCCAGCTGCACTCTTCCCTCCTCCCCTCAACAACCCCCCAATCCACGTAAACTCACCAGACAGGGGTGCCCTCTTCGTTCGGTTCGCTCGCAGGCCCTCAACAAATGGCATCATGCACCCCATGTGGGGTGCCCTTTTCAGTCCAGCACCTAGACCTTGCTACGGGTAAAACAGGTCACCCCTAAGCTACTCAGGACCTTCCGCCTCCAACGCTTGCCCGCTGCAATCTCTTTTCTCTCCTGCCCCCAACAACCCCCCAATTCAACCTGAACTCCCACCGCATAGGGAGTGCTTTCTTCAGTCCGGAAGCAACGCCAAGCTTGGCCGCAACTACCATCTGTTCTATCCACGTGAACTCGTGCCCTCTTCAGCCTGGTTCTCCCGCAGGCCCTCAACAGCCCATATGGGGTGCCCTTTTCGGTCCAGCAACTAGACCTTCCTTCCGCCATCTTCCGCCTCCAACGCTTGCCCGCTCTTCTCTCTCCTGCCCTCAACAACTCCCCAATCCATGTGAACTCCTACCGCATAGGGAGTGCCCTCTTCAGTCCGGCAGCAACGCTAAGCTTTAGCCGCAACTACAATCTGTTCTCTTTCCATGGCCTCCTGTGCCCCTCGTGATGCTGATGATGCACTCTTCGGCGTCAATTGCATCACCGGCATCACAACACACCTTTTTCATTACCAAGTGGCCCGCCTCTTTTTTTCGCTCTCCCTCACCAGGCTCTGGGTTCACCTCTCCGAAATTGGCCACCTCGCGACCACCCCCCCCCACACCCCCTTTGCTCACTTCGTTCGCTCCAGTTTACAATGGTTAAGGGCTTTGCCCGGGTCCCTCAGCTAGATGTTTTCCAAAGGCTCCAGGTGGAAAAACTTTTACAAAAAGTTGATCTTTTGCTGCAATGAAATCCGTGGCAAACACGTGTAAAAAAATGCTTAAAATGTTATCTTCAAGCGCTTTGCCCGGTTCCCTCCCAAAGCGCGGTAAAAAACGGCAAAAATGTTTGCGCAGTTCGATTGTTCGATTATATAATTGAACCAATCGTCACAGCAAAATATTGAGCCGGGCAGAGCCCAGCGGTAGATGTTTGAGCCCAAAAATGGGCTGATGACATTTGATGACCCACCATACCCTTTCCAGGTTTTCAGCGCATTTCCTTGGGCTTGTTGTAATTCAGAAGCACATCATGAATAGCCCGTTTCCGCACGAGATGCGTTTCTAAATCTCCGAGGCAAAAACGGTAAGAATCGAAAATGGTCTTGTCGGGTCCTCAGCTATGAATTTTGCCGCAAGGTGCGGTCCCTCAGCTATGAATCGCGGTAAGCCGGTAAGTCAAAAAATGTATTTCTTATTCTGTCCTTACTGTTTCCTCTGTGGGGGTTGCGGTCCGGACCTGCTAGCAACACGACGCTCGTGCACAATCAAAGTTATTCCTGTTCCTAAGCTGAGTTGGATAATGTGACCTTATCGGCCGAGATCCAAAATATCGCATCAACTCGTGCAGTGATACCGACCAAATTGTTTTGCTCTACTTTCCCCCCACCCTTCCCCGTGTGGCCTTGAACCTCGTTGTGCTTTTTTGTTTCAGCACTCTGACTGACAGTCTGGTCACGTCTGGTCTAAATAAACACGCGCAGGAACAGAAGTCTTGCGGAGTCTCGTGGCAGCGAAGCAGAAGTGGCATTGAAACAGTGTCGACTCCCACGATAAAAATGGTCAAAGCGATCTACATCTGGTTCTTGACTGCCACAAGGACGTGTGAGGGCTCACACTTTGGCCAGTGGAAGGATCATTGAAACAGAGGTGACTCAGCATGATCACATTCCGGCTCGAGGCCATTAAAGACTTTCAGACAGCACAACCCTGGAGGCACTTCAGAGACGGCACGGCCTCTCACCTCTCGTTTTGGGATACTCATCTGCTGCACTCCTGGGATGTTTTCCGCCGGTCAGCTTCCGGCTGCCAAGGCATGAAGGATCTCCTTTCACATCCTTTGACAGAATGCCGTACAACTTACGGCCTCAATTCGAGTGCAAGTCAAAAGGGCCCGACGTGCAGCTTAGCACATTAAGAATGAGTAGTGAACATGGTAGAACGACAAGGACAAATCTTGAACACCCTGGCATAGATGGCCCAATGGAAGTGGGTGGTGAACACTGCATATACGCAAAAAAAAAGTCGTGTTCTCCAGTCCCGTCATTCTCTTTCCCTGTCCTCTCACTTTTCCCTCCCTTTTCCTTTCCTTTCCTTTCCTTTGATTTCCTTTCCTTTCCTTCCCTTTCCCTTTCCTTTG